AAAGGTATGTGTGTGTACTTACCTCATTTGAGGTAATCAGGACACCTCACTGAGCAAATTCACTTCTCCAGCTTCTGATGTAGTGTGTGTGTTGTATAGAGTAGTGGTATGTACATGTAAACCACTGATTGGTTGGCCACCGGATTTGAATCAGACCTGAACCCTGCGATTAGGACCCCTGAAATTAAGACCCCCGCAATCTGAACCCCAGAATCAAGGACCCCTCTCCCTGATTTACATGTTGATCGTTGAGCAACAAGTGTATAATTATATCATTCTCTGCTTGTTGTCCATTTGAATGTGGTGGAAACTCTCCCAAGGATTAATAATGTCTTGACATGCAAGACTCGCTTCAATGCCACAAAATAACCCTTCTCTCCCCCTCCCTCTTTTTCTCTACTTACAGGCATATCTGGAGTTCTTCTGTAGTCCGTCGTTCATGAGAGCGCTAATGACGGTCCTGGTGGACTATCCTCAAGTCAACTACCACATTGTCAACAGACAGGTATATATACCACACAACTAAAGACTAAGGGAAACGAGGGGAAATCCATGTGGTGAGGACGAGGGGCGGTAGGGGTAGGGTGGGGTACCACAGACCCCGGGTGGGGAAAACGGGGGGTAGGACGATGGGGGAGGGTGTCCGGAGTAACCATGAGGTAGGACTATCCTCAAGTCAACTACCATAATATTGTCAAAGACAGGTACATACCACACAACTAAAGACTCTGTCGACAAGAGAGCATCGTGATTGTTACTCAACTGCAAAAGTAGAATTCAGTTTTTAGCACACCAGGTACAGACGTCTGTCTACTGCCTTTGAGAAAACTTTTGGTGAGCATTTTGCTATTTTCAGAGGTTCTTGAAATTTTTTGTAGCGAAATGTTTTTTAGCACGAAACCAGAGTTGTGACTATAGCCACTGCAGTATATAGCTGTTTGAATCCCTCCACCCTCTTCTCCTTCCCAGGGAACGGAAAAACATGACAAACTGCGACTCCTACCAGCCAATAGCGGTCACCTGGGGGGTTTTCCCTGGCATGGAGATCATACAACCCACGGTCGTCGACCCTGTAAGCTTCCATATTTGGAAGGTATAGCAACAAATCACTTCTTTTTTGTTCTCATTTTCAAACATTTCTCTTTCTCATTATTTCTGTGAATTTCCTGTGTTACTCTGTTTTACCGTTCTCCCGTCTTCTACGGAATTTTGCAATCTGTGACTTTTGAGACATGAGCTTTCTTTTCCCATTGCAAGATCTTACTGATGGTGTCTCCCCTCCTTTAGGACGAGGCCTTCATGTTGTGGGGGACCACTGGGCCAGTCTCTACAGCCCGAGTCCACCTCCCACCACATCATCTCACACATCCAGAACACATACTACCTCGTCAACCTCGTCGATAATGACTTGTCACTGGACGTCTCCTTTTCATTCAGGTTGGTTCACAATAGTATGTGTTTTGTGGCTCTCCCATACCTGTGTAAAACAAACGTAAGAGACCATTTTGTCTCTCTCTCTTTTCCTCCTCCATTCCCCTCTCCGCTCTCTTCTCTATATATCTGAGTCATGTGAGACCCAAAAGACCCATCAAGTATGACGAAATTCAGTTGATGTGCTTGTATCACATTATTTCTTTATCCATAATGTTTTTTTCCACAATATGTACCAATGTGTTTCGACTAGAGCTAGTCGCGTTGTGACATGCCTTACTACTCCCGTTCATAATCTCCCTTTTTTCATCTGTACCTTCTCACACCACTCCTCTCTCTCTCTCTCTCTCTCTCCCTCTCCTCTCCTCACTCAGCGTCTCGCCTCTCATCTTCCAGCTGGTGAACAGGTACTGGACGTTTTTTATGAGCTAAAGCCAGTAGCCTACCACTGAAGACTGACCATACGACTCTCACTCCGTCCTCCTGCTCCTCCTCACTAATTCATGATTTCGGTGCGATTGTCTAACTTTTTGATGGCGCCTGTGCGTCACATTGTTTATCTCAATCACGTGACTTCTACGCAGGCACGCCCTGTGCTCATCTCGACGACTCGCTGGGTTTTTGTTCTAGCCCAGCGTTTCTCCGCAGTGTTGTCCAGGCCCGCTTTCGATCGACGACGACACAGTCAGTATACAGCAGGCGAGCCAGAAGAGGTCACGTGCACTCGGATGTGTTTGACTACGCGCCTGCCGCCACGCTCTCTCTCTCTCGTCTCTCTCCTCTCACTCTCTTCTCCTCTCCTCTCCCCGCTGGTGTACAACTGGTACTGGACGGTATGAGCAAAGCCAGTAGTCCCACAACTGAGACTGACCAAAACTCTCTCCCCTCCTCCTCCTCCTCATCTTCATGACTTCCTATTGTCTAAATTTTTTTATTGCGCGTGCGCACATTTTGTTAACAAATCACGTGATTCTAGCAGCCACGCCCTGTGCTCATTTCTCGTCTGGGTTTTGTTCTTCGCCCAGCGTTTCCGACAGTTTTCAAGGCCCGCTTTCGATCGACGAGGTCGACCACTGACGACACAGTAGTACAGCCGGCCAGAAGCAGCTCACGTGACTCAGAGATGGCTACTGGAGGAGGGGACCAAGTCTGGACGTGGAAGAAACGTAAGACAGTCGCCGCGAGCCGCGCACCCCACACAGAGGAAATAAAATGATAACTGTTAGGTTATGACTGCCCAGTGAATGATGATGATGGTATTGTCTGATAGGTTGAGAGAGATGACGTAATTTTAGTTTTTGTATGACGTCATCACTAGCCGTATCGAAAAAGATCTTGTAAATATCCGATGAAGTTGTGTTAGTTAGTGATGATGTCATTGTCTTTCCTCGCAGCACTCCCTCCAAGTAAAGCCGCACTCAGGAAGGTCTTTGAGAACACCAGTAACCTCAGTGACCTCTGCATCTATCTCTCCATCCCTGATGATAAGTGGGATGTTGACAGTGCAGTAGAGTACTATGTACAGAGTACAGATCCAATGAAAATGAGAAAGATGATATTCTGGCTGGACGTGATTGGAGACACAGCTCTAGCAGACTCATTGATGGAGTATGCAGAGCCCCCAGCAGGTATGGCTACAATAGAGAACACAACACAGCCAGTCAATTGTATACCTCTGGCTATATTGAAACCCACCACAGCATGAGCTGTGTGTACATCATCAGGGGTTCATTTAGAAATCGATCCAAGGGGGGTGGGGGGAGGGGGGGCAAAATGAGTAATTGTGAAATAAGGGGGGGGGGCAAAGCTGTTTTCTGAAAATTATGTACCAATGTTTCGACTAGACCTATGCTCATATGTGCAGGCCTTCGTTCATAATCTCCCTTTTTTCTCTGTATATGCCTTTCTAAAGTGCAAACCCTCTGCGAACTGCGCATGCCCAGGGCGATTATGCATATTGGCTTTTTCACTTGTTTTCACTGCATATCTCTCGAACACAGTCGTTTCAGGAAAATCGCCTAATAATTTTTCAGGCTCGCGTAGTTCTGAAGACGCTGGTATCGCTAATTGGCCGCCTCGTAGCCTTTTGTGCCAGAATAAGCGTCGACACAGACACAGACACACAGACAGACAGAACGACTATCGTAACCCTCGCTGCGCATGCGTGCCGAGGGTTAATTACTGTGTGGCAATAGCACACTACACAGCTGTCTGCCTAGGTAAGTCTTGCACAATCAAAGTATGTAGTTTACAAGTCTTGTGAATGATGTCATTACTTGGACTAAAAATAGTTGCCAGCTGCCTAGCTGTGAAGTATGATATTATGTGAGTCGGCTTTAGTTAAGCAAGTCTATGTCGATATGGGCATTAGATCTTACTTTAGAAGCTCCTGTAAACCATCTACGATAGTATATACCTACTGGTTTAGGTGGCATAGTGACTATAGTGTGTGGTACTGTAGTTGCTGCAGTTGCACGCCAGTCAGGCTTGTTTTGCATATTTAAAGGTTTACTTTAACTCCAAGAGGCGAGATTTGATCAAGGGGGGCGAGTGCCCCCCTCTGCCCCCCCCCTTAATGACCCCTGATCATGTTGACATGTGGAAGACTAGATTTTGTGAAACTGTCTTGAAGTAGCCTTCTTCCCTGACTCTCCTCTGCATTATAATAGGTTTTGCTGGAAACAAAAAGCACTGAAGTATAATAAATTATTATAATACAAAATCCTTAATGAAAAGGCACCCTCGGTGCAAGGATCATGCATGCAGCGTTGATATGCACTTTACACATGCTCTTAACATGATTAATGTTTGGGAATAGATTAGTTTCAATTGATGACAGTGGCTGGTCCTCTCCTCAGATCCATCCCTCAATCCACACCTCCTCATACCAGTCTTTACTGCCATATCTGGAGACTGGGGGGAGATTGCTGGCTACCTACAGTACCAAATGCCAGGGCTGCTCTCTTCCGTGGATGAGAAGTTCAGTGATCGTGATCAAGTCACTGCTGAGGCTGGAAGTTACTATGCTTTATCGTCATGATCCAGCTGGAAAGAGTTATCCCGCTATCTCTATAAAGCCGGAGACACAAGGCTGTGGGGATTGCCAAACCTCACGTACAGACTGTGATTGGTATGTAATTGACTAGCGAAGTGAGCCTACCTAGTTGTCTGAATGAATGTGAGTCAGTGAGTGATGGACACTGCATACCAATGTTTCTACGTGATTCCACACTCACTCACCAATTAATTGCAAGCCCTCCTACATAGGCGTCTGAATGTGGAATTTTACCATATATTATATATTTATCTGGTGAACAGACCCGCATACTGTAATGTTTAGCGCTAAAATGTGCGAAATATTGAAATGCTCGCTTCACTCACCAAGAATGTCATCTAGTATGCTTGCATTCCTTCTAGTAACAATTATACACTCACATGTTACATGTACTACTTGTACTTTATGTGTTAGGAACACATGTAGTAACAACAGTTTCACACACTGTCGTATTTGCCTACACTCACACATGTACATTGTACTTGTGTGTACTGCTGATCCCTCCCCAAAGACCTGCATTGAGAGTCAGCTAAAACTGTGTGTCATGCACTGGACCATTACATGTGGACTAACACATTCATGTGTCATCATGTCTTCATGCATGTTCAACGAAGCATACCTCTGTGTACTACGGAGGTACTAATTTTAGCAGCTGTGTGTATTAATATTCATACCTAACCTTGCCTATACATTTGTGATAGAAACAATAGTCACTGAATATTCTCCCTCTCTCATCTCCTCCAGACCCCAGCCTGACTCAGCCACATCCCTACAGTCACACGCCATTTCCCACTGTGGAGGAGTGGGGATCCTCCATCTTGATATGCCAGAGAGCCGCATGATGAGATAGTAGGAAAGTTTGATGATGATGAGGAGGCGAAACGAGAATTGATCACTACATGGCGGCGGTCACCCCTGGCCTACCTGGGGAGACGTTTGTGACACTACTGGAGTATGGATTGTTGGGTGTGAGGAGGGAAAGAGAGCAGCACGTGAGTGGAGGAGACATACCTCAAGAGTTAGTTAGTATCATTATGTTTGTCAACAACAAAATCGAGTTTACATTATGATTGTTTGTAATGACATGATTCGAGGTGATAGTGATGCCAGTACTATATCTTTAGCTAAGCATTGTTCATTGACACATGCGCTCAGTGTACAATGTACATGAGCATATATGTACCTACATGTCTAGTGTGGGTGTGGTTTGTGGTTTGTAACCAGATGTACACGTAATTAGATGTAACAGGTTTTACAGAAAGTGTGTGTGCCCTTTTAATTGTGAGTGCCTTGAAAGGGAGACATATGCCCTCTCTCCATCTCTATTGAAGTTCTTTAAAGGTGCTATTGTACCTGCAGTGACTCCCGAGAAGGCCAAACAGATACTGGACGCTGCCCTCCAGGACGGCTCCTCCCACTGGGCTTTCTGAAGTCCATGGCAGTAGGAGTGGCTCGCTCGGGGAGACGCTCTCCAAGAATTACGTCTTCAAAATCAAGTGCGACCGAACTGCTCCGTTAGTACTGGAGTGTGTGAGGCTCTCGATCTTGGCCTTTCGACAGCTTACTTGGAGCTAATCAAAGTTTTGCCTTCTGCAGAGGGGTTCGAACTACTCAAGTACGAGGATATCAATCAATTCTGGCTTACGTGGTCGCAAGGGTTTGCTTAAAGGAAGGGTAGCGAAGTGGTGAAAGAAATGGTGCCGGCTGCTCAGCGAAGGCTCCAGTTCATCTGATAGAAGTGAGAGGGTTTGTGTAGACTGCAAGTAGTGTAGGCACTCAAGCCTCAACAGCTGTAGTCGGTGCAGTTTGCACTGCAGCAAAGCCAGGGTCGAGGCGAAGCTAAGGGTGAGTGGTCCAAAAAGAAAAAGCCACTGTCAGCTGCAGATAATCCTGTTCCTGGGACAGCGGAGGACAGCCTCAATTCCACGAGGTCGTTGCAGCCTTCAGTCACAACGTGTCCCTCGTCCTGGTCTTCATCAAGCTCAACGAGCGTCTGGATGCTCTGTGCACCAATGCTTCACCGACGAGGAAGGAAAGTGGTTTAACGGAGCAATGCCCCTCACTGCTCACCAACGAGCAGATGGTGGTCCAGTTTGTCCACACCATGATGTGCAAGCCCGTGGCCGGCAGCGAAGGCATGGACACCAGGTTCATGGTGATCGGCACTCACAGGATCTGATGCACGAGTGCGACGAAACCCTGGAGCAGAAGAACGTGAGGTGGCCAGCCTGTTCGACCGGTCCGGAGGGAAAACTGGTCATGGAATGGCGACGACATCATCTTTGCGTCAACGCCAAGAATCCCGACGAGAATGACGACAAATGCTTCGATCTGATCCACGAGAAAGTGGCGGACTTGAGCGGGGCCCTGGATGTGGATACCCCGATAGCGTTCCTCGTGTTGCTGAACGACGTGAACAAGTACGCGGAAGAGCAGAGAAAGAAGGTAGTGAGCATGGAGGAATTCCAGGCCATCGCTGGGAGGCTGAAGATGGAGCGACAGATTCTGGAGGCTGCCTTAGTTTTCTTCAACAAGATGAGCGTGTGGATGTACGTGCCGTCGGTCCTCCCTGGTGCGGTGTTTGTCGACCCTCAGATGCCACTGGACAGCATAAATCGAATCGTCCAGTACAGCTTCCGGGTGGGGGGTGGTGCGATTTCAGGGCTGGCTGCGAGCGAGTGTCGACTGTGGAAGGAAGGGGTGGTGAGCAGCGAGATGCTGAAGGGAGAGGAGTTCCGTGGTTGCTTCGTGAGGGGTCTGTTTGAGGCAGGCGATGCTCTGAAGCTGTTCGAGAAGCTTTACATTGTAGCTCCTCTGAACGAGAGGGAGTTCATAATGCCTGCCATGCTCCAGACGGTGGCAGAGAAGGATATGGAGCGATATGTGCCTGCCCCCAGTGAGCACGTGTCCCCTCTCTTTCTCCACTTCCACATGTCCCGCATCGCTAAAGGTGTGTTCTGCTCCACCCATACCTGCATGCGCTCCAAGTATGGATGGACCACGGCTTACACCATGGTAAAAAGTAAGATAGTTCCTGCTTGTCTCTTCCGCAATGCCGTGCGGTTGCAGCATCCGACAAAAGCAGTTGAAATTACTCTTCTCCATGCTTTGAAGCATTTCGAAGTTCATCTCGATGCATCACAGCCCGACCTGCCCATCATCTGTCCAGAAATCCGTGACATGCTCATGGATGCAGTGGATAGTGCAGCGAGTGCTTTCCGCTTCAAGAATTCGCGAGCCTCTGTAGCCTTCCAGTGCCCCTGCAGCCCAGACGACGTGCACACAGCCACTCTAAATGATGCCCACTCCAACCTCATCTGCACACTGACGGGGAAGAACAATCGAGGAGGCCTTACACCTGCTCAGGGGGTGTGGCTTGGACCACAAACTGCTCCAGGTGAGTCTTCGGATTGTGTGTGTGTGCGTCTTGAGTACACTCTGTTGTTTGATTTAAGTCAGTGTTGAAACTGATAATAGTGTTTTCTCCTCTTTTCCACGGTCGCCGAGTCAGCTACAACTTCTCTCTCGACTAGTGAACCTGTGTCGTCTCTCACTGACCCTCCCTCCCTGTCCTCTCCGTCTTCCAGAATGGGTGAGCTCTGACTGTTTGTGTGTGTTTCTGAAAACCAAAGCTATGATCCTTTGCAATTTGCTAAGTATGAAGGCTTGAAACCTGCATGGTATATAATTGAAGATTTAGGTGAGTCTACATATCTTCTCTCCCCTTTCATTTCTTGTCCTCCCCCATTTCCTACAGCATCCCAGTTACCCAGTGGCTCATCTCATCCTTTGTTTTTTTGCAGCTGAGACTAGCAGACTGCGGAGATGGACACAGAAAGTGCGAAGTTTGTTTTCATCCTCATCCTCAACTACTCCTTCTCACCAACATCTCTCTGCACCTCCATCAAGAATGGGTATGTTTTACACTAAGTTTCGTACAGTGAATTACTATGTAGCACATTGTGGTAGTAGTGACAATGACATGGTTCTAGTGACTGGTCACCACCACCATATCCCACTAGTGAGTCAGAAGGTTATCCATACATAATGTGGTGTCCACTCAGTGTGGTATGATGTGTGGTTTTTGAAGTTGTTCCTCATGTGTGTTCCCTGCAGTCCCCCAGTTGGTCAGTAGCTCACGGACGGGAGAGAGAGACACAACACGGATTGGAGGTCTGTTACTGACTCTCTTTCTCTCTTTAACCTAGTCTTCATGTTTCAAATCCTACTGTTTGAGCTTGGTTCTAGCGAGTTCTGAAATCTGATTGGTCAATCAGTTGTAGGATGGCTGCATGCGAAGCGTATGCCATTACACAATATTCAGTAAACGCAAAAATGCTCAGATATAATATGTATGTATATACAGTATCCCAGACCCAATTGGTGTATCAAAACTGTACACAGAACATGTTACCTCCATAAATCAACAGTGGCGACGGTTGTGCACTTTCAAGTGTTTTTCAGTCTTTACAAGTATGATCATCAAACCTACTTGGTATAATTATGGTTCTCCTGAATTCCCTATAAGGAAAGCAAAGTGGGTGTTGATTAGGAAGTGACTCAGCCCTCTGCAGTTGGTGTTAGTACAGCTAAGTGGCTGCTACTACTGGCCAATAATTGTAATGTGCCGTTGCTGGGGTAACGTATACCAGTGTGTGTTAACGTTGCAGAAACCTTATAAATGTTACTGTATAGTAACCGCTTGTTGACCAGCCATCTATTTTTTGTCCTCTTTATTTCAGATGCACTTAGAAAAGAAAGCAGTTCTACAGCTGAGTGTTCCAGTCCTCAAGATGGTTCACTTGGTAAGACCGTGTGCCGTTTATTACTATGTTGCCAGTTTGTGTTGTATAAATAATTGTTTTCCTTCCATTCGTATGGTCACAGTAACTACACATGTTTATAATTATATATATATATAATGTGGTATCAACCTGACTGCAGGAGAGGAAGATCTGGTGGAGATAACAGACCAGCTGATGGATCTGGACCAGTCTGATATCTACAACCTGGGTCTGGTCCTGGGACTGGCTCATCGCCGTGTGGTGGATCTGAGACAAAACAGCGGATCCAACCTGGCCTTCCTGGATGCAGTGGTCCTACACTGGCTGCAGAGAGACGACCATGTGAAGGAGGTGTCCTGGGCAGCTCTTGTTAAGGCTCTTCGCCACCAGAGACTGGGTCACACTGGAATTGCCACCTCCATTGCCGAGAAATATGGAACACAATTATGACCCATTTAATTGCATGACTGCTTCTATATATACACTCGCAACAGAGGGTAGGAATGGTTTTATGTTTGAAGTTGGCAGCAGAAAGGTTCATGCAAGCCATTCGCACCATTCAAAATAGCCTCATTTTGGTCTCGGATATTTTCCAGCAGCTTAGTTAGAGAGGTCTGCTGTGGGGAGAGTTTGTGGACGAAAGTTTTGGTTGGAGAGGGAGGGAGCTTGTACATTTGTGTTGTTAATATGCCTATGGAAGAAGTGCTTGCGAATTTAAAAAAAAGAGGCATATAGGGATGGTATAAAAAGAAAGGGAGACAAGATGGGGATGGGATAGATGAAACATGGTTAATGAACAGATTTAAGTACGCTGACACCCCCAACCCCATCACAACAATCCCTATATTGTTGCCTAGGTGAAGTACTAAACATTCAACATTGCAAAATTGTCTAGCGAGTTTATTGTTAGTATATACGACAAACAGCCAACATGTTTTATTGCCCAATTCACAATTACGGCAAGCAGACTACGAGTTTTTTTGCCACCTCACCTAGTCAGAAGTCACTACATAGAGCCTGTCTTCTCCGGTGATGATGTGGCTATGGTGGCCTGAGGTTTATTACAGACGGAATCCTGCAGATACCAAATGGCATGGGGTACCCTAGAGTTTACTAGAGTGCACTGGGGGTACACTGGAGTTTACTAGAGAAATTACTGAGGGAGTTTACTAGTGGCCTATATACTAGATTACTGAGGGGTACCCTGGAGTTAGTAGAGAAATTACTGAGGATATTTTTAATATTTCACGAGTACGGGAAAGCAGCCTACATATTTTTTGCTATTTTGCGAGCACAGCAAGCAGTCTATATACAATTTTTTTCCCCCCTGAGCAACAAATGAGTTTTTTTGGCCAGCCTACGTGACTTCCCATTAGATACACAGGTATGCATGCGAGCAGCCCTTGACTTTTGTGCCATAATAATTATTATTACGACAATGGCAACCAGTCTACATTTCCCCCCATTTCATGGGTACGCTAAGACACCAATTAGTTTTTTGTGAGTATGGTAAGCAGTGAACGTGTTTATTGCACATTTCACGAGTACGGCTACGAGTTTTTTTCCCCATTAATTGGTGAGCAGCACAATACTACATAGAAATGGAGGGGAAAAAGTGAAGAGTTCACTGATAGTCATGAGCGCCAAGTAGCCTTCGCGTTTTTTTTCAATTTTTTTGCACGATTACGGCGAGGAGCCTATGAGTTTTTTGCCATTGGAAGCAATCTACGAGTTTTCCCCCCATTTTTCAGGTACATTGAGCAACCTACAACTTTATTTTCATTTCGTGAGTATGGTAAAGTCTACAAGTTTTTTTTGCCCATTTCACAGGTTCATGTGCTAAGCAGCCAACCAGTTGTTTTGTGTACATCAAGCCTAAGTGTATTTTCCCATTACATTGGTAGGCAAGCAGCCCACGAGTTTTTTTGCCATTCATTTTATGAAAACGGCAACCAGTCTATATGTTTTACCCCATTTCATGGGTACACTAAGATGCCAGCGAGTTTTTTTTGCCAATTTCACGAGTACGGCAAGCAGTTCACGAGAATTTTTGCAAATTATTGCACAATACCGGAAGCATCGTATATACGAGTTTTTTGTGCACTTTACGTGTACAGAAAGTAGTCCCCATTTTCCCCTATATTTCATGGGTATGATAAGATGGCAGCGGTTTTTTTTGTTAGTACGACAAACAGCCAATTGTTTTATTATTGCCCATTTCACAATTACGACAAGCAGACTACGAGTTTTTTTTGCCACCTCACGAGCAACCTGCTATATACACGTTATTGCCATTTGGTGAGCAGCACAATACTACAGAGAAATGAGAGTGAAAAAGTGAAGAGTTCATTGATAGTCAGAAGTCACTACATAGAGCCTGTCTTCTCCGGTGAATACGAAGACATTTGGAGCAGTTTCCTTTCTCTGGTGTACAGACATAGTGATAGACTGCACTGCACGACGGACACTGGGGAACAAGAATAGACGGCAAAAACATGGGATAGTGAAAATGAAATGAAAGTAATGTCAGTAATGAAGAAATGTAACAGAAGAAGGAATGCGTGCTCAAGTGCGAAATTTCAAAAACCTTACCCTTATTTAGAATTACGCAAGGCAAATGGTATGAACAGTGCTGTCTACATAATGTGCATTAGTTGAGCATTTGAACCTGGTATGTGTCTCGGAGGTCAAAGGGGTAGATGATGTTGTTCCCATGGCAACCTTCACATATGAACCCCTTCTGAGAACAGAGCTGCAGAAAAGACAAGTTGTGTAAGAAGTTAGTCTGGGGGACTGAGGAAGATGTTTGGCGAGGAAGGATTGAACGAAACATAAGAAGTAAGGCTATGGGATTGAACAAAGCGCAGGGAGAGAGAAGGGAGGGAGGGGGGCAGCCAAAATGAAAGAAGGCATTAATAGGGAAGGGTGGAGAGGTTGTGTCTCACTGGGCATTGTCTGACATGTGTGGAGACAGTTCTGACCGTCTTCCTCATCCTCTCCAGCAGACCTCCCGAGTGGACCTCACTCAGCTCCTGTACTCACACACAAACCACAGTCATGCAGACTGACATTGACTCAGTCAGCTATTGCTCCCTCTCAATCTACTGTAGTTACAATGTGAGGTCAAATTGAAAATTTGCTGTGTAGATAACTTGAGGTCAGATTTGACCTTGTAGAACTGGTGAAAGTTTGCTGTTTATAATATATTATGAGGACGATAATTTCAGGTCAGATGTGATCTCGTAGAATATTTTCTATTTTGCTGTATGGAGGCACGTACCTGAATGGAGTAGCTGTGAATCTCCTCATAGAGATGTGGGGACTTTAGTCTGGAGTGTAATAGGGGATAAGTACAGTGTGTTCTGTTGAACAAAGTTAGCTTTCAGCAAGCACTTAAACGTGGCACAGAATTAGTGAGGTGTCCTCTTTGCAGGGGTTATTGAACTGTTCGTATGGAAACAAACATGTCCTGGTGTGTATACAGGGGTGTGGGTTCGTGCTAATACATTCTCGCTGTCCCTCCCACCCAATGAATGTCTCAACAACTTGGTAACGAGGTAGAAAGGCAAACAAGTCAACTACACCCAGGACAGCTCTTTCTTTTCGAAGAGCTGCCCAGTTTCAAACCCACGACACTCTGCAGTCTAGGCGAGCGCTCTACCAACTGAGCTACCAGAGCAACTCAGCTGGTATATAGGGGTTCGAATCTACAACACAAGGCAAGCCCCAAACCACTGTGCTATGGCACAGTACACTCTCACTTAGTGTATGTATGTATTATACCTCTTCGTCAATAGTTGCAGAGAGTCTTCCTGTCTACAGGTTGCTAGGTAACCTCTCAGGGAGTTCAGCTGCTGCCGGAGCCTCTGTGGAGTCACATGATCAGTCACATGATCACAGAATAACACCAAGAAAAAATACTCCTTCAGTAAAACTAAAAAATTTTCCAAAATGCCTCACTCACCAGTGCTTCCTCCAGCTCGGGGATGTACATGTAGAGGGCTGGGTTACTCTCCTCTACGTTCAGAACTGCTGAGTCGGCAATACTGTCGAGGAATTCGCAGCTGGCACGACAGACACGGTGTCTCCTGAAGTCC